AAAACATGATAAAGAAATAGGCCTTTTTAAAACTAAAAAGACAATTTTATTAAACATTTTTTTAAAGTTAAAAATGAAAGAGAAAAACATAGTTTCTCAGGAGTTACAAAATTCAGGAGTAATATAGTAAAATAGCAATAGTAAAACATTTTCAAAAAAATTGCACCAAATTTGTGTGATGTGGCCTACAGTAGGTTGTCCAGAGTAAATGCACTCTCATATTTATTGACAATTGATATAATTTCATTTTAGGTCATATTTAAATATTTGTGGTCAGAAAAATCCTCGAAAGATATTGGCACCTTATACCAATTGAGGAATATTTCAGGACGAAGTAATGTCACAGGAGATGTCAAGCATCAAATGAGCATGGTTAGTACTATTACTAGTACAGTATGCCAAATAATTATTTGCTGGGGATTTATTATATACTGTTGCGACAGTTATAGCAGATATTCTCACATATTAATTCTTTTTAGTCAAGAGATCTCTTGGTTGATGTTACAGATGCACACATTCTTGCTGCAGCCATGGAATATTTTGGAATGCCAAATCTTGAAAGTTTTCCTACAAATAATTATAATCTGGCTGAAAATGCAAAATCTCAAGAAAAAAAAGCAGTGGCTTTATGACAGTGCATACCAAATCATTAAAAAATTTGTATTTGAACGAGAGCAAAACACAGATGTGGGAACCCTGTCACAGCAAGACAATAGTAATACTGACTCTGCAGAACAAAGTGATAATGAATGTGACACTGATAGTGAAGATGATTACACAGACTGATGATGACATTGATGAAKATGATTCAAGCAGTGATGAGGAAAGTGATGGGATTATTAGTAAGAAAAACAATGGCAGTGTACTCACACAGACACATGACTTATTACCATGGCTTACATTAAAAGAATTTGATGAAACTGAAGACACCCATGAAAAAAAGGAAAAGCTAGACCATGATACAAAAGATGCAAATGACTATGTATTTCATTATGCAAGCAGCATATTAATGTTAGGTTTGATAATAAAGGAATATGAAGACATCATCCATGAAGGGGACGCTAACAGAAAAGAAATGTTGTGGAAACTAATGTTGCTTTTATTCAACAACAAGACAAATAAAGTCAAGTATGCCATGAAGCATTCAAGTACTTGTGTCTTGTTAAAGCGTGTCTCACCCCTCGGATGGCTCACAAGTTAAAGTGGGGTAGATCTTTTAATAGTTCAGGTGGAATTGGCAATAACATTGAATAAGAGCAAGGGGAGCAAGGGGAGCAATAATAAGAGCAAGGGGGGAAAGGATGGCCGAGCGGTTAAAACGCCGGTCTATCACCGCTGTGGTCCTGGTTCGATTCCCAGTCCGGGACTATATGTGATTTGAGTTTGTAGGCTGGTTCTCTTCCTTGCTCCGAGGGTTTTTCTCCAGGTCCGCTGGTTTTCCTCCCTCAGTCAAAAACTAGCTGTGAGGAGTGTCGTGTAGTAAAATTTAAAAATTAAACGACACTTACCTGTATGTGGAAGTTTGATTGTAATTCTACCGATATAACACGTGACTGAGAGATTACATGAGATATTGCGTCACACAACTGCCGGTCACTATTTAAAGGAAGGGTTGGTGTGACAACAAATTGTACACCCCCTATCTGAATGTAATTTTTATCTTTTATTGATCTATTGAAAATGTCTGGGAGTGGAGGGAGGGCATGTAATCTCTCAGTCACGTGTTATATCGGTAGAATTACAATCAAACTTCCACTTACAGGTAAGTGTCGTTTAATTTTTAAATTCTACCTCACTATCACGTGACTGGAGATCACATGAGATTTCAAAGCCAATGAAGTTGGCACACCAACTACAAATAACAAAGTAAATAAGTAACTTTATTATCTGAAACAACTTTAACCAATAATTTAATTAGCAACAGCATTCAAAACTGCTTCCTGGAAATGGTCTGGTTCATTTTGTAAAGGTCGATTATAATATGTTGCAAATGTTTTTTCTGATGCCCAACCAGCTTTGTCAAGGATTTCCTGTATCGGAACTAATGCCTTTTGCGCTGCACTTGTTGACGCAGACCTGGTACTATGTGCTTTAAACTTCTCTNTTGAATAGTTTGAAGTCTCTGCGCTGTAGTAATGGCGATTAACATAACTAGTTTTAATGATAAATCTTTCAACGTTAACGAAGACAAAGGGAACAAACTAGCTAAGTGTCGAAGGACGACACTGACATCCCAGGTGTCCTTGTACCTTGTCATTGGGGGTTTTAGATTGAAAACCCCTCTCATAAACCTTGACACCAATGGATGACGTCCAATTGGCATATTGTCTATAACTAGTATTACTGACAAAGCACTTCTGGCTGTATTTAATGAACTGTAACTTAATTTGTCTTTCTCAAACAAGCTTGTCAGGAAATCTATCACCTTCCCTATAGATGGTCGAAGACAATCAATCTGTTGCATGCCACAGTAGTTGATCCATCTATTGATGAATGACGCATATTGTTTGTGTGTTCCTTTGCGCCAGGATGCCAGTATGATATCGGCAGACTTTCCAAATATTTCATACTTTTCAAGCGATTTCCTGACAATCTGCATGCCATCAGTTGAAGTTTTGGCAGTAGTGGATGTTGTTTGTCTGGCTTCGTTGGCAGGCACAGAAGATTGCCTCGTTTGGGCAACAAAAGAGGTTGGTCTATCAGCATTTCCATGGCCTTGCTGTAGTACGTCTGAGTCGGCCAATTTGGCATTACAACAATAGCTTCTGCTTGATCCAACATGATTTTTTGTAAACATTTCCCCAGTAAGCTAAATGGGGGAAAACAATATATTAGTGGACCATGCCAGCTTATAGTAAAAGCATCCACATGACTTGCTTCTGGGTCTGATTTCCATGAATAATAGGTTGGTAATTTTTTATTTAGATAACTGGCAAATGTATCAATTATTGGACACCCAAACTTGTCAACAATAGAATGGAAAACTTGACAGTCAAGTTCCCATTCGGTGCGATCGTTAAAATTGCGTGACTGGAAATCAGCATCCACATTAGCTTTGCCTGGTATGTGGGTAGCTGTAAGCCAAATGCTATGAGCTATACACATATCCCATATGCTCTTTGCTATATTATTGCATACTAATGAATGGKTACCCCCCATACTATTTATATACGACACCGCTGTTGTTTTATCAGATTGAACAAGGACATGCTTGTTGCAACACAAACCCAAGAAGCTTTGTAATGCATATTTTATAGCTAATAACTCAAGTGCATTGATGTTGCCTTTAAACCWATCAATCTCAATAGGTAAAAATTGCCCCTGTGCTGATTTATTATTACACAMTGCTCCCCATCCTACCTGGGAAGCATCGCTTTGGACAACTATATCTGGGTTACACCTTGATATAAGTCCACATGCTGAATCAATGTGGTTAACCCACCATTTAAGATCGCACTTCATTTCGTTTGATATTTTCATCATAGCATCAAAATTACCACGAGCATTTTTTAAAGCTGTGATCTTTCCCATCTCTAAATGTCTATAATTGAGACGTCCATGTTCTACTCCAGGAAAACTTGACACAATTTTCCCAATAACTTTTGCAATGCTTCTTATGCTCTCCTGTGACTTATCAATCATTTCTAGACAGACTTTTTTGAGTTTTTCTTTTTTCTCTGAAGTTAGAGAAACTGTCATGGAATTGGAATCAATTTCAAAGCCTAACACCTTAACCCGTTGGCTAGGGTGCTTCATAGATTTTTCGGGGTGAATTAGAAACCCTACACTACTCAAAAGGTCTTTACACCGTGTTATTGCACTGCTAGCATTTTCATATGATGATCCCTGAATAAAGCTGTCATCAATATAACCTGACACTRTATGTCCTGCTTGTCTTAGATTTGCATAACAAGGTTTCATCAATTTAGTAAATAATCTAGGTGCTGATGACAGCCCGTTAGGGAAACATGTATACTGATATATTTTTCCCTCCCAACTAAAGCGGAGGAATTTCCTATGTTCCGCTGCTATGGRAACCATGTAATATGCATCCTTTAGATCAATGGTAGCCATATAACACCCAGGAGTTATAAGTTTTAATATGGATTGCAAAGTATCCATTTTGAATTTATTATATTCAACATACTTGTTTAAATTTTTTAGGTTAAGTATCATTCGGAATGTTCCATCAGGCTTCGGCCTGAGAAAAACACTAGATAGGAACTGATCAGGAGAAGCACTGGCTTCTTCTAGCACTCCTTTTACACACAACTTATGYATTTCTTGTGTCATAATCTCAGCTTCATTTACACTGAGTTTAATACAATGTGKCAATTTCCTTTGTTCAGGTAACTCATTATCCTTGAACGTTATATGGCAACCCTTGACCATATTCAAAATATTATTGTCATTTGTAAGAGCTCTCCAAGCTCTTAAGTAATTTCGAATTCTTCCAGCTATAATGTTTGGATTTACCTGTATGTTTGAAGTCACTTCTTTGCTGTTGTGTCCGTTGAAGTGGAACTCTTCCCTTTCGAGTATGACTGGCGGGAATTGTTCGAATTCCCTAAAAAAGGCTTCTGGTATGGTGTGAAACGTCCTCTACCATAACCACGTCCTCGTCCACGATAGGCTGCTCTTGAGCTACCACGTGAGCCACGTCGCCATTTATGATCTAATATTTTGTGAGTGACTTTATTGTCATCTGTAATATCCTTAATCTGTTTCGTRACGTTTTCTCCAAAGAGCATGTCAGTGAAAGGCACTTTTTGCGCACACAAATGCCCATAGTCTTTTGATATTTGGGACTTTAATAATTCTCGACGCCTTTGTGCTAATTCCCAATTAGCACCTCCAAGGCAAACTAGAGCGTCCTCAGTAGTTTTCCATATATTATTCAAAACTTGCTCGAGTTTTTGTTCTTCACTTGCTTCTTTATGAGCGAGAATTTCAAGAATGTTATTGGCAATTAACGCCACACTTGTTGTTCCTTTTACTAACGCGTTTTGCACACGCTGCATTTTTACGTCTGTAGTTCTCGCCTCAGCAGAGATACGATCCCAAATCACCTGATTAACAGTGATTTTTGATAAACCTGCACAATTTTCAGGTCTGCAAATCTTATCCAAGACATTTTTCTCGTAATCCTCCTCTGGTTTTTGCCGCATTAACGACGTAACGTTCTTTGCTAAGTTTTCATTAATCTTAGCTCCCGTTTTGTCTTTGTTACTCGACTTCTTTTCTAGGCTCGCTAGAAATAATTTCACTGAGTCATCCTCCTCTGAGGTTTTATCTTTGTCTTTCTGAGACTCATTTGTGTCNAAAGTGAGAACATACAAGTTAGCAAAGGTATATAAGTAAAAAGCAGTAAATTCGCCGAAATAAAATCGACTTACTACTCACCAAACAAGCAAGCGACCGGCTTGGTTGAGCGAAACGCAAACAGTGACCGGCAGTTGTGTGACGCAATATCTCATGTGATCTCCAGTCACGTGATAGTGAGGTAGAATTGACTTTAACTTCGCGTACGATTTTATTCGCGCGATAGCAAAGTGGCGATTATCGCGCTGCAAAATCGCAAGTTTAAACGGGTTTTAATAGATCGGGATCTCTCTTGCTATCGCAGCTTTGGCCTGTATTTCTAAATAGACTAAATACATGACGTTAGTCTTAAGGCCGATTTAGACGACACAACGTTTGCTTACAACCATCGCATGCAACCTGCGTAAGTCATCCTTACGACATGGCTACAATTGTCGTAGGGATTTTAAACAATTGCTTAATAGCTTCACGACAGTTGTAGACATGTCGTAAGGAGGACTTACGCAGGTCGCATGCGATAGTTGTAGGGAAACGTTGTGTCGATTTATAAATCGGCCTTTAAAAATAAGATTGGGCTGACAAAATATATTTACATGCAGCTGTCAAGAAAAGGTCTTTTTGTTAATGCTGTATTTGAGTTAAAAGCCCGAATTAAAATTAAATTAAAAATTCTTGTTAATGTCGAATTGAGCAGGTGCAGCTAGCATGATCAGTTTGCCTTCATCGGGCCGCATAGAGTTGTGCGTTTGAAGACGACGAGAACAACTCTTTTCAATCCAAACATGGTTAGATTTTATGGGTATTTTACTTTTCATTACTTTCCTAGCTTTATAACCGAAATCCACGAGTGTTTAATACACTTGATAATTAATTGAAGTGATCGATAGTTTCACCCCAAAATGCGTATGCGCCACAAGGTTTAAAAAGTAAAAATAATAGCTCACTAGGTGACCAAGTAAAAAAGCGGAACATCAACATACAGATTGTCACAAGTTGAAAGTGCTGTTAGTCACACCATACCAAATTAAAAGCCAACATATTATATATTTCGCTAAAAAGCTAGTGGTTTTCGGAGTGTTGACTAACCAATATTAGCCATTTCGACGTTGCGCAGGGGACTGGGCACTAATCAAAGAAATATTGATCTATTCACGAAACAAACCCCACCAGATGAAATGACACCCAAAAAGTATTAAATTTACCAAGTTTCAAAACGTTTGGATAAAAACTAGCTGAACAGTATTTATTCCTAGTTTCATCAAATTAACAGAGAATGTATTGTTTTGGGGGATGCGGTCAAAATCCCCATACATTCTCTGTAAATTGCACGGCTTCTCATTAATTGAATATTTGTCCAAATGATCTGTAACTTGGAACCTACACTTAAGTCGATAAAGTCTTTTTAGTGATATGGTTAGTTTTTCGATTGGCTTAATATGACAGAAATTACAATTCATTTCATAACATAAAAATGGCTAATGCCGTGCCGTTGTAGTGCTCCTTTTGCTGGTTCAAAACGGATAACCGCTGTTTTATATGACTGGCTGATCTTGCGCAAATGCCTTACAAGAA